CTGAAACTACACTAATCGGCCTGGTCATTGTGAAGAGGAGAGTGAAGAGTTCTACAGGTTAATGCTTTTGGGACTAGGAAGTGTATATTCGGGTTATTAAAAAATAAACTTCCCTAGGCCACATTTGTTAAGCAGGGGCCAATGGCAGGAATGGGACTATTTAATGATTTTTGGGCGCATGCGGAGTAAACCTTCTCACGATAACTAAAAAAAATAAATTAATCCCAAATCCTGACCCTAATTTAGCCTTCACTCTAACCCCTTACAAAATAAAAGAAACAAAAGCTGAAGCAGAAAAACCTAACAAATGATATTTCTCTACTAGCTAAAATTAACACCAGAGCTTAAAACAAAATGCTGTATGAAAAGGCGCAAACAAATTGTGGTAAAATGTGCAAAAAAAAAAAAAAATGTATAAAAACACTGCGCTCAGATGTGAATGGAGCTTTAATCTTTGGCAAAACCTGGAAGCTGATTGGTTTCTATGCAGACCTGCACCAGATTTTGCACTCTCCAGTTTTAGTAACTAACCCCCAATGTGTTTCTCAAATAACAGACAAATTGAGACTGAATGAGGATTTAATCTCCTCGATCCAAGATAAGCCATGGACTGCACTGTAAATTAGGATCCACGACTAAAGTAATTTCTTCACAGTATTAAAGACATGATATAATATATATGACAAGCTTAGTAAATAAGATACCTGCCAACAGAAAGGGCCAATTTAGGCTGACACTGATGAGGGTTGATCACAGCCAAGAAAATATCACATTTGCCTGCAATAAACAGCAAATATTCACTAGATGGCAGTCACGGGCCCCGTCAGGGGGAGGCATAGGACGAAAATAGTACTTAAAGGGCCAGATAAAGCAAGCAAAGGGCTGTATTAGGTTTGGAGAGCACAGATTTAGAGGAGGGTGTCCAATTCACTCAGCCCATAAGTGCTTTTTATACCTAATATAGACCAAAAAAGAGGCTAAGGAACATGTGGTGGACTAGTGACCAAAGTGGAAAATACTAAAAAGGCCCCAAATAGTGTTTTCTATTGTACATGAAGATATTGCTTATTCTTTAACATCTTGTTACATGCCAGCAGAGACTTTTCTGGGGGACAAAGCAAACTCTGGCAATGGTACGTATTGATGTGCCATCCTGGAGGAGTTGGACTGCCTGTGCAACCTCTATAGGGTCCAGGTATGTCCTCATGCTACCAGTAGTGACACTGACCCTAGCCAAATGCACAACTAGTGGAAAGTGAGAAAAGATGGGAGTAGGGAGCCCATCTAGCACCCCTGTTTTTCAATCACCAAAACAGCTGAAACTGAACCACCCTCAGCTACTTACCTGACCAGATCACTATCCCTGGAGTATGACTTTATGCTATACTCTGTTTAAGAGGTGTTACTTTAATTTTTTTAGCAGTTTACATCAATTTTAGCTAAATCACTACTTCATTCCCCCACTGGAAGCGTATTTTGTAGGAGGTCAGAAGTGCATCAATATACCCAAGACATGAATACTAGTTAAGATCCTTTGGGGTAACAAAGTACCACTATGCCATATATAAATAAAGAGCAAAAACCAGATTAAATTAGTTTTTTTATTTTTCAACAGTTAGCACATACTGTGGCTTTTTCATCAGGGACTTTCCAATGATTACTGCACACAAAAGTACAAGAAGAAGACTGAGACATCCAACAGCCACCCATACCCAGAGCTCTACTGGGGCAGACTCTTCCTTTGTCACTGCAGCTGTAACATCCCTTTGTTTAGGTTCAACCACAATCAGAGGTCCCAGAGTGGTGACACTTTCTCCCTCTTCTGTATGGGGTTCTGAAGAGAAAGTTGGAGGTCAAGAGAAACAAATTTTGCACAATCTGTTCAAGCTTGCAGCCCACAAGTCAGACGTTGCCACCCATTATAGACACATGAATCTTAAATTGTTGCATCACAAGGGGCACACAATAGGAATTAGAAAAATGGTTTCCCCCCCCCCCCCCAGATTTGGGGATCTCTTCTGGTTCTAATTTGAGAGTAGATTAAGGAAAAGCCTCCATTGGAGGCAATACATCATGGGGGGTTCTAGCCTGGCCACCCATGCCTTACAGAGGTCTGTTTACATGTCATGGTCCTAGAGATTTGGTCAGCAGTATTAGTCTGTAGGAGATTCTCTACTTGAAAAACCTTGACACAGGCAATACCTTAGAGCTGTCAGGATTCACTGTGTACCACAGAGATTCAGTTATCACTCAGAGGGGAAGTTAATTGGGACATCCCATAAAATTTTTTTATTCCAATGACACCCATCCCCTCACTTTGTCCTCTTAAAGGTCAATTTGACTTTAGAAACCTGTATGGTTCCAATCTTTCCTTAGGAAAAGAGAAAATTTATTGCTGTAGGTAGAAGGCAAGGCAAGTAATTTAGTAGCCAATGTACCAACTAGTCTAGCAGACAGCTACCCCCTCAGTTGGTTCATCTAGGAAGACCTAGAGCAAATTCCTAAATGTTTAAAGTCACATCAAAATTAAACTGCAACACTTTTCAATATGCTCACTGAAGACTTGTTTTCCTTCTTAAACCAGGAATACCATTATAGTATATAGCAGCTGTAAGAAAATAGCCCCAACACCACTCACCATCCAAGGCTTCTCTCTTTCCAAATCCTCTTAATCTTCCAAATTGACCCCTTCCTCCTGCAGCCAGATCAGTAGGATTGCTACAGGTACCTGTACCACAACACTGGCAGATACTGCTGGGGCCTTCAACTGCAGACCAGCTAAAGACAAAATGGTCAGATCAGTCTACAGTTTTCACTTTGATTTCATAATGTCTAATATAGAGTAACATACATAGTCTGGTTGAGCCAGAGGAAAGAAAACCCCAGCAAGGCATGATTAAATTTGCACCAGCAGGAAAAAAAAAAAAAAAAAAAAAAAAGTTGAACTTTGATTCTTACCAGAGAAGATAGTTCACTTAGTTACAGCAGAATGTGCTCAAGGCATGCTTCTTACAAGTAGACCTTCCTACCCACACCTTGAGTTGGCTTAGTCTCCATGGATCCAGCCCACTGGTCCTGTGATATGACAGTTGTCTGGAGCAAGGGAAGTTTAGCAGGGCTTAATCTGAGCCCAAACACTAAAGAGGAAGCCTAATGCTAAACTTTTGAGAGTCTGTCACAATGTGGACAAGGACAGGTGGCTGTGTCCATCCCAAGTGCAAGTTATAGTGGAAGGATGTGCATTTGTGTGGGGACCAGAGTTAACTGGACAGGTGTGGTGTAAGTACATTCGAGGCCCACCTTTAATGTCGAGTTTGCTCCTACAGCAGCCTCATTCCAGGGAATTGATGAAAAATAGCACAAGAGCAAGGTAAAGTGACCCTGTTACAGGTTGCTAGTTCAACCAGAAGAACCCATGGTGTGGTAGTCCTCATGTGAGCCATCACCCACCTACCCCTTACACAGCCGAACCATTTGGACTATGGCTCATGCCATGCTATGCACATCAAGGTTGCTTCCACGTGACACTTGACAGCCATTTCGCTGCTGCTTACTGCAGTCCCCGCTCCCCACCCCCTTCTCTTCCCTTTCTCCTCAATTACAATTTACCATCTTGGTTATGCAGAGATTCTTTCACATTGGTCCATACAGTGCCAGGGGATCCCCCCCCCCAGCAATTTGTTATACCTCCGTGATATTGGTTATTAATCCTTTCCTCACACTGTTATGTTGCACTATTTTTATTTATCCCCATGGATCATAACTACCTCTGATGTTCTTTTTGATACTGGATTTGTACTTGTTTTTCCTGTGCTCTGCTTGTTAAATTTATTTAATGTTCTACCATTCAAACTAACTTTTGGCCAGGTTGTAGCAAACATGTTATGCTACTGGGCCGATTAAGACAGGGGCTCCATACAAAGCAGAAATCAGTTTTAAGGTATAGGTTTGGTAGTGAGCCACTAGGTGTCTCCAGTAAGGACATTTGGGTTGTGATCAATTGCCAGCATGCTTTGTTTGCCAGGACAGGGATACCTTATGCTTTGTCCAGCCTCAGTCTTTTCATATCCTATTGTCATTCACTAGGAGTGTGGGGGGCTACCTTCAAGTGTTGGCAAGCCCAAGTAGTGGGGAAAAGCAGAGGTTTAGCAGCCTACCCAACCCACAGAAGTGGGTGCAAGTGCTAGTGTATGAATAGCAGCTTATTTCTACAGTTGTTACCAGGCCCTGTACCATTTTGTGCGGTGGCTTCTGAATGCTATTGTAGCAGCCATCACTCAGGTCATGGAAGATGGCAAAACTGGACCTCCAAAAACAGAGCAGCGTGTGGGATTCAGTCTATACATTTGAAATTTTAGGAAAGTACAAATTAACAGCAAGGGGATTTCTGCTGGACTGATGTGCTGAGGTACACTAAACTGCCTTTGTAAACATTCCCAGGCAACTTACCTGGTACCAGATACCTACTGCAATTCTGGAATGCAATAGGTGTACAACTCATCTTAAAGGTCAGCTCTAATCCTCTTGTTAGATGTTTGCAGACACAAGAGATGTCAGTCCTAACAAGCAGATTCATAGCACCAGGCCCATAATACAAGTCACTCACTTTGAGGCTCTCAGGCATAACCGTTAGGGCTAAGGGTTTCTTAGCCAACAATTCATGTACATGGGATGGGAAAGGCAATGAGACATCAGAGGTTACCTATACATAATTTACATTGATCAGAATTTTCAGCTGCCAAGTTCAGTTCTTTTGCAGAAGTTTCTCAATACATATTTGATATGCAAAATTGCTATGGGGAATTGTGCAGGAATACATGGACAACCATTACCATCTCACCTTTTTGTGGCTTTGCTATAGGAACAGGCCTTTTGTGTGGGATCAGGGACTTTGGTAGCTGCAGACGCTCTCAGGTAACAGGTTATGTAGATCTGGAAAGAATGAGTTGGGAAGTATGTGACTGGTTCATATAAAAAGGTGCCCATCTGTTGCAACTAATTTAAATAGTCCTCACCAGAGACGCATCCTTTTCTAGGAATCTGAAAGCATCCACTGTGAACTGCAGCTTGTCTGGCTTAATCCTAGGGGTGATGAAGGCTGAAGAGGAGTCATCTTGCAGTCCATCTACTAGACACCTGCAGAGGAGTAGTCAGAGTGAGGTCATTATGGCAAAACCCCCCTTCTCCCCCCACCTGCTCTGGAAGAACATACCCATTGTTTGCAATGATGTCATAACTAGGAGCAGATGTGGGATCAGGAGATATGGTGGCCACACATTTGTCAATATAAGGGATCAGTCCGACATGGTTCCGAGTGTCCACAGAAGCCTCTATGTAGAGAATGTCTCCAAGCTGATAGATTGGAGAATTTCTAGGGCCAGACCAGTCCTCTATAGAAACAAGACAGGATTAGACTAGATCAGACAACACCTCCCCCCCCCCCCCTAGCCTTCCTTCACTTACCCATCATTAGGCGCAAGGAGAAGGACAGTTTCTGCTCTGAGGACACTGTGGTGCTGAATGGAACCCATGTTGGCTCAATGGCCTTGCTGCTCACATTGGCATGTCTATACAGAGGAAAGACTTGAAAGTCAATGAGCCAGAAGTACAAATAAACTTAGTTTCACAGATCCAAATTAACGTTTTAATGGCGTCACTTAAAGGCAATTAGGACAATAGCTACCATTGCCGACTTGCTAGTTGCAGATTACAGATTGTCAAACCAGCATGTTACCAGATGTAGCTAGTATAAAGGACAGCAGTGCAAACTTATTCTGGATAGAAACTCAGAAGATAATGCCAGATTCAGTACACAGCCTGTGTCTCAAGGTTCAAGTGAACAGCATTCACCATAGGTCCCTAGCTTAATACTTAGTTTTCAGACTGGTACTGACAACATAATCCCTCTTCAGCCAAAATGGAAATATAAGATTTCAGATGGATAACACTATTTTATCATGAGAAAAACTTGAGACTCAAGATATGATATACTATCACTGTCAATCCTCTCATTGGTGATTGAGACAGAGGCACAAGCTGTAGTGGGTAATGTAGTCAAGGCAGTGTTAAGTTGTACCCAAAATTGAAGACTTTAGGACCCATGTAGGAAGTAGGCTGCCAATACAACCCAGCCAAACATCTGAATTGTGGCATCTCAAATTTTAGACCCAAAGTTTTGAGTGAAGGCTTAAAGCCCATGGGATTTATCATCTGTATCCCAATAAAAGATTAGTGACCACTTAGACTGAACAGAAATAACCCAAAAATGATCTTGAGCAGTTACCAAGAGGCATAGAAAGTGAACCCAATGGACACTTGTTAATGACAAGGAGACATCACTTAGAGGCACACTGTTGTGCCTCTAAGATAGGATGTGAAGGAAGAATCTAGAATGTGGTAGAAGCAGAAAACCTGACAGGTGCACTGTCCCATTTAAATGTATGCCTTTAGTTCTTGCCCAGTAAAGATTTGCCATTAAACCGGCACCCCTAGTATAGACTCACCGGTAGTAGTAGCACATTATGGGGACCACAGCTGGGTTGGTTCTGATAATTGGAATGGAGGAGGTTGGTCTGTAGGTCAAGCTGGTAGAATAGATCACCCAGTCTGCAGTCATCTGTAGATAAGTAGAACACATACATTGTTGGATCTCCATTTTAATAGACTAGTCACTTAGCCATCATTCTGATGAGATTTCACCATTTAGGATTCAAATAAAGAAAACTACACCTGTCATATCAGCAACTCAGGACAGTCAAGTAGTTACATTTTTTTTAGAAGACCATCAACAGCTACTCGAAATGGTGTCAGCTTTAGACCAAACAGCTTAAAGGAGATGCATTTTATTTTAGGATTATCTTACCCCAGAACATGCCAAGTCCCTAGCACAGTTTCCTCCTTACACATTGTAGTCTCCTCTGAAACTCTAGTTATTCAATTGACCCAGCGCCTCCACCCATCCTCACATAGCCTTGTGTAGTTGCTGTGAAAGGAGATACTAATCACAAGTAATGGCTCCTAGTCCATCAGGTCTGCTGACATCACATCCAAGATGGCAGCCTCAGGATTTTTGGATGTCTACACTGGTAGGTAGAATTATCTTATGGAATTAGGCTTTCTAGAGCCCCTGTTGCCAGACCATTTATATCAACAGCCAGCTAAAGGATCAATTACCAATACAAGGCCTTAAACTACTAGTCCATAGTTAAGCAACCCTGCAACAAACCCTAAACTCAGCAAGAATGTTGGGCATTTACTTCCTTTCTACATCTTTGTTACCTCTAGTGTACATATAAAGGAGGTCCAGGCTCTCAAATTATTTTGCTACACTTCAAAAGTGATTGACATGTTAACAGCAAGTGGAATATATTCCATGGACAACCAATAGTAACCAAGTTTACTGGAAAGAGAGGGATTTAAAATAAAGTAAAATTATGACTTGCATTATATACCTGCACAGAATTGCCACATTCCTGGAGACGGATCTGAAAGATAGCTTCATTAGCAGTTTGGGTGCTAGGCTTGCAGCTTTGGGGTCCCAAGCTCAGATCAGAAGGTTTCACCAGCTTTCCAATCCCATAAAAATCCATCAGGACACGGACCACCATGCTGTCCTCGTTACACTGGACACTGACAGGGGACCTAGGGGAGCTTACAGCAGGGGGCTCTTGGAACATGCCACCAGCATGTCCACCTGGTAAACCCCACTGAGTACCACCTCTAGAAGCTCCAAACCCATATACAGGCTCATTACCACCCCAGTAAAGATGTCTGGAATCCCCATTAGAAAACCCCTGGGTAGGTACAACCCGCTGGTAGTTCCTCCACCAATCCAACTGGCGCCTGTGTCTCACCAAGGTTCCATCTCCAGCACATCCAAATTCTGGTCCATAAATCAGGACTAGCAGCAATAAGCACCTAACAGGGCGCAACAGTCCTAAACCCATCCTACCTACAAGAGGAACAGCATGTACAGGGTTGAGGAGAAAGCTGACCTTTATACCCCTCCTCCCACCAGCCACTAATACGCCCAGCTGGGGCAAAAATCATCATCATCACACCCAAACAGCTACTTCATTCAGCAATGGGCTAAGCTGCATGGCTAACCTCTTTATGCTGAGAGAGTTAACCACTTGTTGGCAGCCACCTCATGATGGAGAATGTTAGCAGCTTAGTTTTGTTGCTAAAATTGCTAGTGATTACTAGGAGTAGTAAATTATTGCAAAACAGATGGAACAAATGGTTCTCTATTGAGTAAGCTACACAACCAGCATCTACTAACATGATCTCACATAACCATTCAATACTTCAATCATGTGCAATTGAAAACTCAAAAAGGGTAAGTGAGCGCAAATCCCAAGATAGCAGCTAGCACACAAGGCAATCCTCAACACCAAAAAATAAAATATAACAAATGGTATGCAGCGCTAAATAATATAACAAACATCAATGTAACTATAACAACAATAAATGGATGAGACGATAAACCATCAATCCAACTTTAAATTGTTCCATATAAATAAAGATGAGATATAAACCAATGTCACAGTGGAAATGGATGTATTCAAATCCAATTAGGCTTGTGGACGGATCCGGTAAATAATTGCGCTTACCACAAAGACATACAAACAGAACGTTGTCTGTATAATGATGGACATCAGGGCCTGGTCAGCAAATAGGACAGCATCTGGTCACCATGTAAGTCTCCCAGGAATTGTGGAAACCTCTCCAAGGTCATCTCTAGAGATGAGCGAATCGAACCTGGCGAAGTGGAATTCGTTTCGAATATCAGGAAAAATTTGATTCGCATCAAATCCGAATTTTAGCAAACTTCGGGTGCACGAATCGAATTTTTCCCGATCAGCCGGCAAAAGTGTCACTGCAGAGAGCTCCGCTATTTCTGACAGTTCATTTACAGCGGTTTGAAACATTGTATCTATTTGTTTCCATTTAGGATACAGATGTTTTTATTCGGAAATAAATAGATACAATGTTTCAACCGCTGTAAATGTGAAGGAACTGTCAGAGAACTGTCAGAAATAGCGGAGCTCTCTGCAGGGGACACTTTTTGCTGTACTGGAATACTTCTTCTTTTCATTCTTCTTCTTTTCATTCTTCTTCTTCTTCTTTTCATTCTTCTTTTCATTCTTCTTCTCCTTCTTTTCATTCTTCTTCTTCTTCTTTTCATTCTTCTTTTCATTCTTCTTCTTCTTTTCATTCTTCTTCTTCTTCTTTTCATTCTTCTTTTCATTCTTCTTCTTCTTTTCATTCTTCTTCTTCTTTTTTCATTCTTCTTCTTTTCATTCTTCTTCTTCTTGTTTCATTCTTCTTCTTCTTTTTTCATTCTTCTTCTTTTCATTCTTCTTTTCATTTCTTCTTCTTCTTTTTCATTCTTTCTTTTCATTTCTTCTTCTTTTTTTCATTCTTCTTCTTCTTTTCATTCTTCTTCTTCTTCTTTTCATTTTCTTTCTTCCTTTCATTTTTTTTCATTCCTCTTTCTTTTCTTTTCATTCTTCTTTTCATTCTTTTTCTTCTTCTTTTCTTTCTTCTTCTTCTTCTTTTTTCTTCTTTTCATTCTTCTTCTTCTTCTTTTCATTCTTCTTCTTTCTTCTTTTCATTCTTCTTTTCATTCTTCTTCTTTTCATTCTTCTTCTTCTTTTTTTTCTTTTTTCTTTCTTCTTCTTCTTTTCATTCTTCTTCTTCTTCTTTTCATTTTCTTTTTTCATTCTTTTCTTCTTCTTTTCATTCTTCTTCATCTTTTCATTCTTTTTTTCATTCTTCTTCTTCTTCTTTTCTATTTCTTCTTCTTCTTTTATTCTTTTTTCATTCTCTTTCTTCTTTTTTCATTCTTCTTCTTTTCTTTTCATTTTCTTTTCATTCTTTTCTTCTTCTTTTCATTCTTTTTCTTTTCTTTTCATTCTTTTTTTTCTTTCCTTCTTCTTTTTTCTTTTTCATTCTTCTTTCTTTTCATTCTTTCTTCTTCTTCGTTTCATTCTTCATCTTCTTCTTTTCATTCTTCTTCTTCTTCTTTTCCCCTTTCTTCTTCTTTTTTTCTTTTCATCCTTTTTCTTCCTTTATTCTTCTTTTTCTTCTTCTTTTTTTTCTTCTTTTTTTCATTCTTCTTTTCATTCTTCTTCTTCTTCTTTCTTTTCATTCTTTTCTTTTCATTCTTCTTCTTTTTCATTCTCTTCTTCTTCTTCATTTTCTTCTTTTTTTTTTCACTTTTTTCATTCTTCTTCTTCTTTTTTTCTTTTCTTCTTTTCTTCTTTTTTCATTCTTCTTTCCTTCTTTTTTCTTCTTCTTTTCCATTCTTCTTTTCATTCTTCTTTTCTTCACAATTTCTTCTTTCATCTTCTTCTTTTTCTTCTTTCATTCCTTCTTCTTCTTTTTCATTCTTTTTCATTCTTTCTTTTTCTTTTCATTCTTTTCTTTTTTCTATTCTTTTCTTTTCTTCTTCTTCTTCTTTTCTTCTTCTTTTCATTCTTTCTTCTTCTTTTAATTCTTCTTTTTCATTCTTCTTTCATTCTTCTTTCATTCTTCTTTTCTTCTTCTTCTTCTTCTTTTCATTCTTCTTCTTCTTTTCATTCTTCTTCTTTTCATTCTTTTTTCTTCTTCACCCTTTTCTTTTCTTCTTTTCTTCTTCTTTTTATTTTTCTTTTTCATTCTTTTTTTTCTTTTCATTCTTCTTCTTTTCATTCTTCTTCTTCTTTTCATTCTTCTTCTTCATTCTTTCTTCTTTCTTTTCATTCTTCTTTTCTTCTTCTTTTTTCTTTTTTTTTCATCCTTCTTTTCATTCTTCTTTTTCTTCTTCTTTTTCTTCTTCTTCTTCTTTTATTCTTCTTTTCATTCTTCTTCTTCTTCTTTTCATTCTTCTTTTCATTCTTCTTTCATTCTTCTTTTCATTTTCTTCTTCTTCTTTTCATTCTTCTTCTTCTTCTTTTTCATTCTTTTTTCTTTTCTTATTTTTTCATTCTTCTCCCTTCAATTTTTTTTCAATCATTCTTTTTCTTCTTCTTTTTCATTCTTCTTCTTTTCTTTTCTTTCTTCTTTTTTCTTTTTCTTCTTCTTCAAATTTTTCTTTTCTTCTTATTCTTCTTCTTTTTTCTTCTTCATTCTTCTTCTTTTCTTCATTCTTTTCTTTCTTCTTTTCATTTTTTTCTTTTTTTCTTTTTTCATTTTCTTTCATTTTCATTCTTTCATTCCTTCTTTTTTTTTTTCATTCTTTTTTTTTATTCTTCTTTCTTCCTCTTTTTTTCTTTTATTCTTCTTTTCATTTTCTTTTCATTCTTTTTTTTTTTTTTTCTTCTTTTTTTTCTTCATTTTTCTTTCTTCTTCTTTTCTTTTTTTCTTCTTCTTCTTCTTTTCATTCTTCTTTTTTTCTTCTTCTTTTTCTTTTCTTTTTTTTTTTTTTTTCTTTTTATTCATCTTCTTCTTTTCATTTTCTTCTTCTTCTTTTTTTCTTCTTTTTTTCTTCTTTTCTTCTTTTCATTCTTCTTCTTCTTTTCATTTTCTTTTCATTCTTCTTCTTCTTTTTTTCATTCTTCTTCTTCTTTTTTTTCTTTTTTTCTTTTTTTTTTTCTTTTCATTTTTCTTTTTCTTCTTCTTTTTTTTCTTTCTTTTTTCATTCTTCTTCTTTTTTTTCTTCATTTTCTTCTTCTTCTTTTCATTCTTTCTTCTTCATTTCTTCTTTTTCTTTTCTTCTTTTTTTTTCTTCTTCTTTTTTTTTTTCATTCTTTTTTCTTTTTTCTTCTTCTTCTTCTTTTTTTTCATTCTTTTTTTTTTTTTTTCATTCTTTTTTTTTTTTCTTTTTCTTCTTTTCATTTTTTTTTTCTTTTCATTCTTCTTTCTTCTTCTTTTCATTTTCTTCTTCTTCTTTTCATTCATTCTTCTTTTCATTCTTTTTTTTCATTTTTTTCTTTTCATTTTTTCTTCTTTTCTTCTTCTTTTCATTCTTCTTTTCATTTTCTTCTTTTTTCATTTTCTTCTTCTTTTTTCATTCTTCTTTCATTCTTCTTCTTTTTCTTTTCATTCTTCTTTTTTTTCTTCTTCTTTTCTTTTTTCTTCTTTTTTTTCATTCTTTTTTCATTTTTCTTTTTCTTTTTTCATTCTTCTTTTATTTTTCTTCTTCTTCTTCTTTTCATTCTTTTTTTTCATTCTTCTTCTTCTTCTTCTTTTCATTCTTCTTCTTCTTCTTTTTTCTTCTTTTCATTCTTCTTCTTCTTCTTTTCATTCTTCTTTTCATTCTTTTCTTCTTTTTTTTTCTTCTTCTTTTTTTTTTTTTTTTTTCTTTTTTTCATTCTTCTTCTTCTTCTTTTCATTCTTTTTTCATTCTTTTCTTCTTCTTTTTTCATTTTCTTTTCTTTCTTCTTTTCATTTCTTCTTCTTTTTTTTTCATTCTTCTTCTTCTTCTTTTTCATTCTTCTTTTTTCATTTTCTTTTCTTTCTTCTTCTTTTTTCATTCTTTTCTTCTTCTTTTCATTCTTCTTTTCATTCTTCTTCTTCTTTCATTCTTCTTCTTTTTCTTTTTTTTTCATTCTTCTTTTTTTTCTTCTTCTTTTTTCTTTTCATTCTTCTTTTCATTTTTCTTCTTTTCATTCTTCTTCTTTTT